TTACACATATGGTTTAGAAATCCACAGGACCATCCAGCGTGCATTTCCTGAACATTAACTGCCTGTCTTGGACGAACAGGCTGGCAGGTATGCTGCTCTTTTGAGGAAAAATCACGTTACTCAACCCAAAACTAAGGAGAAGGCATACAGCTCTGGTCTTTGGACCGCAGTCAAAGAAAAACAAGAGTTTCCAAGTTATATCACAGGATATAAATAAGCTAAAACAACATGCAAATCTGAAGGACAAGATCTAGATCACATGATTTAGATAGCAAACCAAAGTGTCATTTACATACACGTCATAGGTCAGAAAGTTCACAGGACAAAAAGACACGTTGTATCTGGGGAGAGTAGTCACTATTGCCCTACCTCACCCCGTGCTTCTCGCCGCCGGGTGAGGTAGGGAAACATGTATCACGAGAATCGCACAAAATAGATACCATTCTTTCGGACGGCCATATCAACCTTACACCATTTTCATTGAGGAAAATCGTGCTAAAACTAAAAGTCACACGTGAGAATCGCGTCTATAGCTCGGACAGTTATGTATCACCTAGCTATTACAGTTGTACAGCACAATCCTCTGCAGCTCGAGCCAGGTGTCACAGCAGAGAGATAACCATATACCACCTGATACCGTCTCACCCCAGTGGCAAGAGCCCGCGGAGTACGACAGAGAGGATTTTCTTGGTGCTTCTCAGGAGGATGCTAATAGTACACTCACGTTCAAACCAAACGACTACTCATTTAACGATATTGTCTATAGAATCCATCAGTTGATCCCATCTGTCACGCCACCAAGCCATGAGGCAGAGGATCCGGTGCTTATTGAACGGGCTGGTTATGAAAATCCTGTAGAAAAGAGGGAAGGTTTTTAAATGCTGCTACCAGTGGAGCTTTCAGCATGCCTTATCCTCAAAAAGGGAGACAATGCTATAAAACTCACAATTGCCCGTTCCCCGCATCTACCATTGATGATGAAATATTTGATCTGGTTAGACAGCCTAATACCAGGATGAATGTATCCTATGAGATGAACACATTCAAAGAATTTGACAATGTTGATAAGCAGATGATAAACATAAGCACGTATATGAACTAGTTTGCAGCAGGCAGCAGACATCAGACATGTACTTCCCCCCTGTTAACTGTGAGGAATTTACTGGCCAACCTTGTGACACAAAAGTTGAGATGAATTTGGAACAAGTTGGTTTCATTCATAGTGCGCTGTATAACATACTGCGCTGTATAACATACTGAAGATGCACGAAGATCTTCAAACTGCACAGGTATGGATGTCCACATAATTCCTGCTTACTCACTGAAATCATCTTATTCAACGGGTTAAACACAATATCTCAGATCCACTGAGACGAGGTTTGATGTCTCTGTCAATATTGGCTCCCCAGTTCTTCAATCAGAGATTCCAAAACTCTCCAATCACAATGGCAGGCCATGTCGAGCATGCAAATGAACTTGGTCAAGTTTCACGAGAATGTAATCATGTGATCATGTTACGATATTTCATTTGCTAATATTTTGCTAGTGTAACAGAATGGCAATCCAATTTGCATACAGTAAACCAATAGGATTAATACACTTCGATGTCAGGCAGGTCAGCCACAGTGGGACCCAGGCTTGTTTCATTGATAGATTGTAATAATATTTCCATGTATGGCACAGGCTTCTTGGAAATTGAATGATGGACAGTTGACTGCATTTCTTGATAAAGTAACGCGAGGTGGGTCTTGTGCTGACTTTAGAAGCTTTGCTTGGCCTAGCTTTGATGAAATATTTTATTTGAACACACAGGTCATGGTCGAGACTCACGAGGTCTCGATCACAAACTTTGTTGACACATAAGTCAGACTATAACAAATATGACTTTTAACGTGTCAAAAGTATGGGGTACCAAACGGGGGTCGTCTGTCATTATACGCCGAAAACTGGAAGTCGAATACAGACGACCCTTGGCTAATTGAAGTGGTAAAAGAGGGTAATAACTCCATTTCCAACATATGAAACTTGGTCTCTCTTCTGAACAGAGTAATAAGGAAGATGGAGGACACAGATTGCGTCGTAATTCTGATAGCCCCAGTGTGGCCCAACAGAGCATGGTTTCCAAGACTGATTCCACTTCTCACAGAAGAGCCTTTCAAACTGCCAGAATGTCACGATGTCCTCCGCCAACCCAAATCGTACATATTTTAACGTCAACCTGACAAATCTTCACCTTCACGGCTGGAAACTATCGCAACAAGTTTCTGGCTTCTCTAAATCAGCTTCAGAAGCGGTTGCTAGCTCATGGAGACCAGCTCCCTCAGCTTCTTTTACGTCAGATGGAGAAAGTTCTGCCTGAGAAATGAGAAAGGGTTCAAACATGGTACAATTGAAGGCTATAGATCAGCATTAGCCTCAGTTCTTCAACATGATGGTCTATCCATAGAATCACAACCAGTTTTAAATCGACTCATGAAATCGTTTTCACTGGAAGACATAAAAATCCCACGCATATTTCCCCAAATGGAATTTATCCATCGTACTGTCTGCACTGATGTAAGCTCCATATGAACCAATGGCAGAGGCTACCCTTTTTAACAGTTTCTAAAAAGACTGCCTTCCTCTACGTTAGCTACAGCTGCTAGAGTGTCTGAGCTCCACGCAATTAATATCGCATCTGTTACGCATTCACAAGACTGGAGCACAATATCCTTCAGATCACTACCAGAATTTATCGCCAAACAGCAGGCATCAGCGTTTGGGCGTCTAGGACATAGACAATATTCTATCCCATCCTTGAGTAAACCAGTGGATCATTCATATAGACTCTTATGCCCCATCAGAGCTCTGCGATACTATATATATTTCAGCTACTCAGAACCACAGGAAGAAAAGAAAACATGTATAACTACCGGAGGTGTAGTCGTGGAAGACTTCAGAACCGGAAATGACGTAAACATAACGTTTTATCACCAATATATAAAGGGAAACATGTCATCAGCATAAAAGTACGTCAATATCAATCCTGTGGTGAGATAAGTATATATGCGGTTGGCTATAGAGCAACAAGTATATATCTACGTCACAATGATTAACCGGAAGTGACGTCATAGATGTTCTCTGAACCAGAAGTGGCGTCATGAAGGTCATCAGAACCGGAGAGAAACATCAGAAATATGGTCATATATCACATAAACAGGTAACAATTATGAAGTCATAAAAACGGGAAGGATGCCACAAGTGCCACGTCTTCTACAGATTTGCCAAGGGTGAAATCAAGAAAGTCTGGCACTGGTTTATTCCCCATTTCGCCCATGTTTCCCTTACTTCACTGCTGCCAATTATCCGGGAGTACTAGATGACAGATTCCACCTGTCCCTCTTGTAAATACTGGCTATGATGTAATAGTGGTAGAGTATTTGCAGGAATTATCAAACAATAGCTATCATTGTGTTTAATTCTAAGAATACTACCTCTATTACATCAGGATATAGTCCTCCCTTCTCCCCAATATGTACATCTAGTCGATGAAGGGTTGTTGGAAAGAAGTGATGTTTTCGCGCCTTGCGCATGCGCAAATGCAGTTTGACAAGGGATAGGGTTTACCTCAAAACTATTGGATAATTGGCAGTGAAGAGGACGTCTGTTGGAAAAAAAATCTCAAGATTTTATAGTGTGATTATTGCCAAAATGGGAATTGTGGCTATGATGTAATAGCGGTAGTATTCTTAGAATTATACACAATGATAACTATTGTTTGATGTCTTTCAGTACAAAATCAATATTACCTTCTGCTATAAAATCTGGAAAAGTTTTTGTCTGTACATTCAAATCTCCAGTGAGAAGTATTTCTTTCTCTGGTCATCAGAGAGAACAGCCAAATGATCCTCTTACTTTGACATACCATCTGTATCTGCATCATCATATTATTATGGTATTATTACGGTTCTGTTCGGATGAACAAAACCTTCCAAATGGCGTGCTGGTTTTCTTGGGGGAATTAGTCAACAAAGAGCCGGAGTCACAGGAGACTAATCACAATTCTATTTACCAGAACAATTAACAATGAACAATTTACAATATCTTAGAATATAGCTGAGGGTGCCACAGAGAGTCGGTACAACCCTCTGGGTTGTGGGAGAGAGATCTTCTTGGTTAGAGCGACAAACCCCTTCTGCCTAACATTTCCTTCTGTATGTATTTAACAAAAATTAGAACAATAAAAAGGAATACGACTGGTTGATTCGCGATGGCATATGTTGACATATTTACTGGGTGCTTGGAGAGAGATTATGGTATCACTATAGACGAGCTTGTATGGGGGCTAATCCTTAATGAGTCTAAATGGAAGTAATTGCTGAATGTTATTCTAATATAGGTGATTTACGTAAATAAAATAGTTCAAGGCAATCTAAAAGACTATGTAGACATATCTTTTCTCTTATTGGATATTTTGTCTGGGAGATGTGTTCTCGTTACCTTAGGCTAGCATCTATCTAAAAAGCTATAACTGATGATACCTGATGATAAGTATTACTTGCTAAACTATAATTATATGAAATGATGTATGAATATTACACCATGATAACTCATAAAGCACTTGATGTGGATCAAATTCTTTTTAGGAAAACTTAGTATAAATGTTATATCAGGATAATATTTTGGAGTTTTATCAGGTGAAATGTAGGTCAGCATAAAAAAATGTCAAACTTGAAGTATAAAACAGAAAAAACTCTCTTTTCTCAAAATAGTCATATACTTCTGATGTACCGTCACTTGACCAATGATTCCTTGTAAGAATACTTCAAGCTTGTGTACTGTGGATTTGACCTCGATTTGACCATGCCTCTAAATTCTCCCCAAATTGCATCCCCTGCTCATAAATATCTTCTGTGAAACTGATTGACTGACAAAGCTGACATTTACCCAATGTTGAGGGTAAGGATTTGCGTGAACTTTAACATATTACAGTTCTAGAATACTCTTTCAATGTATTTCAGGGGAGGCTGATCGCATCATGGACACAGAAGGTATTATGTTGTCATTGCCGCATGGCCTACCAACATACTCCAGCATTGAAGCAGCTCGCCTGGACCAGTGTGACAAAGAGAGACTGTCTTAGTCACATGACATTTTTCTGTAATGTAATGAATGCCTTCAGTGATGAGAATTATATTTGACATGTTTCTGAGCCAATGACCTCACATGAGATGCACCAGAAATACTGACTGATCCAACATAGAGACTGAGACAAAGTCATTCTTGGTACTTTATTTTAAATTTGCAAATAACTTGAGAATAGAAGACAAGATTTGTAGATGTAATTCTATTATTCTAGGAATCTATTAAAATCTTCAAAAAGAGTCACCCTTTTGATACATAAATAAATACATGTCAATATCACATTTCAATATTTTTACTGTGCCAAACAGCGTTGACAATTGATGCAAATAAACCAACAATATCTGCTGCCATGTAACAGTATTCATTAAAAGAATAGCCTACATAACACATGCTTGTTCAGAATTGCAGTTCATGTATTGTTATTCTGATCAAACAATTCTTTGCAATATATTTTTTCAATAAGTACGAACTCTTTATAAAACAAATTGAATTACTTTTTAGAATGACAAAATAGCACTTGTGTTTCACACATTCCATGGTGATTGTGTTCTTGTTAATTAGTATAAAGCGGATACATGTTGCATATTTGAAACTGTCTTCATAGCCTTTGTTTTAATACGTCGGATACAGTAATGTGATGTCAGTTGTGACATACGGTAAAAGGAAATAAGTGTCAATACTGGTTTTTTTTAAGACCCGGTAACCTTTACTTGTAGTTTGTAGGAACCTATAACTTTTAAGTTGAGTTTGTTCTTTTTGTGTTGTGGAGTATCATGTTAAAAGGAAACCATCACTGCAACTTGTGCATACAAAATATTAAGTGAAGGAAAGTGAAGTGTAATTTTTTTTCATTTTATGTCATCAAGATTCCATTTGCTCCAGTCTTTGGTGTCTACATTTCACATCATTTGAGGTACAAACGAGCATGCACTTTCTACCAAGATTTCAAAGAGTGAAACGATACTTACTCAATATTTTTTTTTACAGGGTTACAACATTGAAACCCTTGACTTTAAAATTAACCGTATTTACATGTAAAAGATGGATGTTTCTATACAGAGATCACCCCTCTCGCCTATCTCTGAAAAAAACCCGAAACGAAAACAACATATATAGTAGTGGGCAGGGCCACTGGGATGAGTCGACAGCTGGGTCGTATTTACATGTGCATTGGGCATACGCTTGTTGGTTCTAACTCTGCAAATATTCATAACAAAATATCTAATAGGCGAAACAAACATATCCATATTATCAACACACAGATGCATACACTTCATTTTGATTCAAGGCTCATCCAATTTAATATGATATGCATACTATGAATATTATTCATACTTGATATTATGTATTAATGAATCACACGTGCAGAGCAGTAGTTACAGTTACGCTAGTGGTTTCAAGCCAAATTGCAACATAAAATACTTGGGGTGTACGGTGTAGAGACATTACTGCCTCTACAAATTGCCAAGATATAAACACAATTTACACAAAATATAAACATAAATTACCACGGCGTGACAATGAGCTGGCAACTTTGTGTATGATGGTCAGATCACAGGCATCATAAGGTTAATTGCCATATTCTAGGAAGTTGAAATAATAAGGCCGCATAAGAATCAGGAAATGGCCAAAACAATTAAGATGTAAAATTACCTTTTCATAGGTATCTATTCAGTCATAATGTACATACACACTGCATTCACACATGAAGTTAAATGTTAATTAAGCAATGATTAACAGTTACATTTGATTATAGATTTAGGTTTAGATTTAACTAAATTATTTAACAAATTAAGAGAGAAAGTGTACCAGCTACACAGTTGGTAGAATATCATAAATACATGTACCCACACTCAAAAGAAACGCAAGTCGAGTATGCATGCACACATGTTATTTATTTTCCACAGTGAAGACAAGAAATACAAATAGGGCAAGATTGACAAAAAATTCGACTGTAGACAGTTTAATGGATTAAAAGGCAGATGACATGATTGTTTTTTTCAAATGTTAAGGGCTTACACAGTTTCGGGTCAATACCCAAAATGTCAGTCAATACCTGGTGTGACCATCATTAGCATTGATCACTGCCACACATCTCCTGTACATTGAGTGGATCAGACGATTTGTGAAGGCCCTAGGGATCATCGGCAGTTGTAGGGACTGGGCGCACATTGTGCAGAAGCCTTTGAACCTCATCCCACAAGTGTTCGATGGGGTTCAGGTTAGGGCCGAGGGCTGGCCACGGTAGAACACGGATGTTGTGTTGTTGCAGAAAGGCCATGGTAGCTCTGGCAACATGGGGACGAGCGTTGTCCTGCTGGAAAATATGTTGTTGATGTTGGGCAAAAAATGGAACAATGTGGGGTCTGATATACCGCTGAGCAGTGACGGCGTGTCCCCGACCTTGACCAACATTTAGAAAGCACATGGGTCCAAGTCTTGCATTAAGTTCAATCCCTGCCCATATCATGACGCTAGGTCCACCCCATGGATCCCTTTCCACAACGTTTCTGTCAGCGAAACGATCACCTCGACGCCGCCAAATTCTGACTCTTACGTATGCATGGGAGACACAAAGGCGACTTCCTTCAGAGAAGATGACGCCAGTTGTGATGACCCTGTGCCCACTGAAGTGCTTGTCGATGCCGTGGTTGGAGAACTATACGATGTGCTGGTCGGCAACATCTGAGGTTGTTGGAACGTAGACGTCGGATCACAGTGTTCCGGCTAATGTGTCGATTATGTGTTCCTATGGTCTGTTGAGCACTTTCACTTGCAGTTAGGAACGGATGTTGCTGGTGTTGACGGGTAATCTGCCGATCTTGTCGAGGTGTGGTGACCCTAGGACAACCGCTCCGAGGAAGGTCATCTGTGGTCCGTGTAGCATTGTATCGATGCAGGAGACGGTAAATTGTGGTTATGTTAACGTTGAAATGACGTGCAACATCTTGGACAGACTCAACCACCCCTCTAACTTAACTCCCAAAAGTAAAACGCCTATAAAACAAACCTATTCAATACCTACTCTACTTTCCCCCCACCCACACCTCTTAATCTAATATCTCCTGAAAGCCCTATAATAAATAATAAATGATCCTGATACAGGACGCGGGAGCCGACTGCACCTTACCAGTTACTGGTGAGTGACGACTGACGATTCCCTAACTTACTTACTTTGGAGATTTAACGTGCGCTTTCCGACTGATGCGTATTTCGCACACGGGCCCGGCCAGGCCAATTAATGTGTTTCCGAAGGGGGCGAAAGTGGTCTGTGCAACCCAAGAGGGGGCTTTAGGGGTTGCTCATATAGAATTTGGGAATTTTGAGATTTGGAATAGATGCCGATGGGGTAGGGGAGCTGGGTATGGTGGATGTTTGTGTGTTTATGTAATTTTGATTTGGTAGATTATAGTGTTTTTAGATGCGTTTTATTAGTTCCGTTTTGATTAAGAATACGCCTAAGGCCTTGAAGTTTTCTAGTTTATTTTGTGGGTTTAGTATTGCTTCTAGAGTGAGAGCCTTGTTTAGATTGAGGGTGGTTTGTAATGCGGTTCGATGTGTTAGGTAGTGTGTGCAGTGGATGAGTGCGTGTTCTGGGGTTTCTAGTTTGCAGTGTGGGCAGTTACCTGTAGTATGTTTTTTTTATGTTTTTTAGGTGGTTATTTAGGTTGGTGTGTCCTGTTTGGAGTTAAGTGATTACTCTGTCGATTTTTTTTGATGGATGGAGAATTTTTGGTTTGGTTAGTGGTTTGCTGAGTACTTTTTTGATTTGGCTATTTGAGTTTAGATATAGCTTATGCCATTTTTGGTGATTTTTGCTTATTTACGCTTTTAATTTCTGATTTTGAGATGGGTAAGTTTAAGCTTATTTCTGGGATTTTGAGGGATAGTTTAGCTGCCTTATCGGCGTTTTCATTACCGTATATTCCTACGTGGGCGGGTATCCACAAGAAGGTTATTTGTTTGCCTGCGTTAGTTAGGTCGTTGGAGCTTTTAAGTATTGACGATTCCCTACCTAGCGTAGGCTTATAAAGCCAACACGCTGACCATGTGACCAGGAAAACGGACACATCCAATGAACACGCTCCTTACATCTCGGCTCTCCCAATCATGGCTTCCGCCTAGCTGAGCATGCAAGAAGCGTGGCATCGTCACGTCTTCCCAGCCACTACCACAGGACCAAGGAGCGTCCATTCCAATTTGGAATGAACGTTGGATTGCTTTGGAAAGATCGTTCATTCCAAACTTTCCAAAGCTTGCAAGGATCGATCTTTCCAGAAAATCCAAAATTGGATTGGCAACATTTCCAAACATATTTCCAACACAGGAAATGTTTGGAATGACTTGGAATTGTTTGGAAATATGGTTAGAAGGAACAAGTTAAAATATGTTTGATTAGTAATTTGAACAATAAAAAGAGTATGAATTATTTATTGAGTTTAAACTATATATAAAAAATATTAAATTTATCTCAAACATTCACTACTTGTCTGTCTAGCGAGAGGCTTTTACAGTCGCATTCTCCCTAAGGTGAGAGAGAGACCCGCACTTGACTCGAAAAGACACTAATAGGTCTCAAGATTAAGTATTCGGCTGGATGGCAGCTGCCATTTAATTACAAAACAGACAGTCGTCTAGACGGCTCACACGCCGACATGTGCCTAAGATCATAAAATGGACAATCTTTAGTAACATCTAATTTATTGTTCTCTCACGCCAGAGCTGTGAATAATTCTGTTCATTGAACAATTGGAATTCAGGAAGTTATCAATAATTGTTTTACTTAACATAAGATAAGTTGTTTACAACATAATATTATGATGTCAGGACGTACTACAGTCAAAACCATATATTTTAAAATCAATTTAATGACAGACTATGATTTCCAAGTCCCGATTATCAAATCAATGAGGTATCAGTTTCACCACATGTGCACAGACCGCCTATACTTATATATATATTTTTCATAACTATTATCCAGTTAAAGTCCTATCCTCTTATCAAAAAATCTGTGAGTGATCATCATTAACGAAACTCATTCTCATCAAAGAATACAGAACAAATGAAGAATCAGATGCATACATTTATTGCCATGCTTCATTCATCACGAAGTAGATATACATACATTTGTGAATAGCACTTAAACTGTGATAATGAATTTTACCATTGTCCATATTATATTATAAATATTAACCATAATATGGATTTCCGAATATATAAACGACTTCAACGTTGATATTTCAGACAAAAACAAAGTCAGCTGTCTTTTAACGTTCAGGGGAAAAGGGTTTGCTTTCACAATTGAACATTTGTTTTCACCAAAGGACAATCAAATCAAGCCAAAAACACGAAAAATACATTTATATGGTTAGCGACCGTCATCATACAGCGAGGGGGAATTCGTCTGCTCTAACTGCCTTCACAAATACATTCCAGCCCTTAATTACTGAGGCAGCTGTGACGTAGTAGCATTACATTCGCTGCTTTTGCAGCATATAAGATGTGTAATATGTGGAGTGACTAAATTAATATTACGGCTGAAATCTTACTTGCATGGTTGTTTTAATAGAAAACTTACGGTTTAAAAACACA